ATTTCATTTGTTCCATGAGTTGGTGTTCCATCCGTAATTCCAACAAAAAGATGACTGAAAAAATATAATTGATGGCTAGGGGACAAGCCACATAAATGTTGATCTTATTTGCAGATCAAGTGAGTAGTGAGTAATAGAGATAAAAAGTGGAGGAGCAATATAAAAAAAAAAAATTAAAAAAAAATCTACTTTTATATTTTTAATAAATATATATTATACATATACATAAACATAGTATTTTATTTTTGCACCTCTTCTTTTTAGCTCTGTTGGCTAGTTTTTCTTGCTTGATCTGTGAACATAAGGTGGAAATGTACGTATCAGTGAAAAATATATTAAAAAAATATTAATATTTATATTATGTATATATTGTAGCACACTGATTGGCCAAGTATTGGTTCATCTGAATTGGTTTTCCCAAATTTGTCTTAACTGGAATATCACATGGACAAAAACAAAAGTTAATTTTTCTGCATGGATCGATTTTGACAAACCAAAATTCTAAAATGCTAAACCTTACCCACATAAATATATTATTTGTCCATAATATTGGCATTTTTAGCCATCCACAAGTTTCCTTAAACATGCCCACTTTTATTATTATCTATTTATGTCACATGTAGTGTGGTATTTCAGTATTTATCATAATATTTCATATCCAGCTTGGAATATTGCAAAATAATAGATTTAAGGCAATGTCTAAAGTGTTTTATCCCACAAATATTTATGCCAACAAGACAATATGTATAAATTGTGTAATGTAATGTGATTGGTATTTTTTTTTTTAGAAATATTTGAATGTCAATATACACACAAAATGATGGTTCATCCTAAGTTAATAGGACACAATAGGAACCATAGTAACTTTAGCTTAAAGGAGCACTATAGGGTCAGGCACACAAACATGTATTCCTGACCCTATAGGGTTAAAACCACCATCTAGCCCCCCCTGGTCTCCTCATGCCTCCCTAAATATAGTAAATCTTACTTGTATTCAAGTCTGGAGCTGTGGCTTTGGGGGGAAAGGATTTCAAGTATAAAAATAAAAAATGCTTATAGAAGGTATTAAGTATTATTCCAATATTTTGTTACAGAAATCATAAATAGCTAACTTACTAATCTTGAAATAATAACTTCATTACACGGGTGCCAAGTATCTGGGTAATTATCAGACATCAAGCCATATATCACATTAATTATCCCTTTTAATTGTTTTTCGAGATTCTTTACAATGAAGCAAATGAAGCAAGCTGCCAGAAAAATCATTTTGTTGTGAAAAGTAAGAAAATAGCACATATTCTACTGTCAGTTGATTTTCTATCTGCATTTTATATGCCATTCCCTGCCATCCCAGGCAGTTTTCATTAGAAATTAATATAAATGTGTCAGATCACTTTTGTGATTTCATTTTCTACTTCGCAAACCTCCAAATTTAAAGAGACAGTAGCACCTTGTAAAGCAGATTTGTCCAAACTGAGACAATATTAATTATCGCTCTCTTTATAAACATTGCCGTTTGTGTTAGACAGCATAGCAATTTAAATTTGCTGCGACTTCCCACTCGACCCACAATTTATGGTAATTATTAGAATATGTATACTTCAATCCAAACCACACTTTAGCCATTGTGATCACTGTACTAGCATTAAAAACAATTCTCTGTTTTTAGATTAAGAAAGGGATTTCCCTTATTTAAAGGATCTATCCAAGCAGTGAGCTGAAGTGGTTATGGTGCTTAGAGTGCTCCTTTAAGGCTTTTCCAACACAGGTTTCATTCCTCATTGGTATGAACATGCTAACTACTCAAAGTGGTTATATAAAGACAAATGTGTGAGATATAGTCACTAATATTGTGGTTTGTTTGGTTCTATTTTATTTATTTTTTTAAAATTTGACAATTTTTATTTTTCATAAAGGTAATGGGGTACAGAAAGAAGAGGGGAAGCAAGTAGGGGATGTCAAATCATACAACATTTGTCTCCATTTTAAACATGCCTTGATAGAGAAGCATTTGTAAGTGTCAATATTTGCATTACAGTCGGCATGAAGTATGTCACTTCTGTATCTGACCTGTATAAAACTATATAAAAATAGCAATAATAAATCTTGTGCCACTACCTCAATCAAACACAGTGCCAGATGGTGCTCGTTTGGAGAATGGCCAGACTTGTTAAAAAAAATCCTCCTTTTATTTCATTACATGATACACAAGTCGTGTAGGTTTCCATAAATATATAAATGTGCTGAAAAAGACACTATAGGCACCCAGACCCCTTCAGCTTTTTCAAGTGGTCTGGGTTCAGTGTCCCTATTGCACTTAGTGCTGATGTTTACATTGTAGCACTAGCATAGCCACTAGTGGTTGTCTACCAGACAGCCACTAGAAAGCGCTTCCGAAATGTTACCAGACTTATGCACATCCGCGCATGTGCACTAGCGCCACCTCTTCGAGTGGCGTAGAAGGAGGCGGAGCTGCAGGTAGGTAAATAAAGAGTTTTTAAACCTTTTTCACCATGGCTGGGGAAGAGAGGTGGGGTGGGGCAGGGGGTGCAGAAAAGGAGGGGGAGGCCGAGGGAACTATATCCCTTTAAAGCCGGAGAGCCAAGGCATTGTTTGTTGGTTCATTTGATGTGGTGAAAAGAATGCTACACATACCTCAATTTTGTTGTCTAACCTCTCACTACTGCAGCTGTATCTTTGACCATTCAAACATTGAAGAGGAAAACAAGAGGTCATCACTGGCTTCTACTGCCCAGAAATCCCTTTAACGGTGGGTAACACACATATTCAACATAAATGTGTTAACAAAGAGCATTGGCATTTTATATAATTGTTTTATAAATAATATAAAGACAGCAAATGCTCCAAAATTCATCCTGCATATATATATTTAAAATTAAACAAAATTGTACCTCTCACTAACTTGGCCTGGATAAATACATCATACAATATCTAATAAAGAACTAAGTATTGAATAGTTTGGCCTAACAGGTTTAGAAAAATCAATACATTTATTGTTTTTTTTTATTATAACTTGCCTTTTTCTGGTCTATATTTTCCTTTTTCTTGTCCAATTTGTTAAGGCTAAGCAGAGCTTTCTCTTGATGACATAATCATATCTTGATAACCCATTATTTTGAATGTTATATATAAAAGTGAGCTAAATATTTTCTTACAATTATCTCGTTGTTAAAATGTAACTACTACAAGTAAACAATACTACAAGCTATGCGTATCCATTTTGGAGGGATGCTTAGGATTTTGTCCTTATGTTCCAGGAAGTATTAGCCGTGAGCATAACGGTGGACAAGTGGAACATTTACGAATCTGGAAAGCCCTCAATATTCCTGTAATATGTGTAGAATGTAAAATGTATAGGTACAGTACATTGTTATAGACAATATTGGCACTTGCTAAATTAAAAGCTAATCATTATTTTTCACTTGAATGTGTAATAAATAGAATATCAGTGAAATGATTGGCACTGATGGATTATGGACTATATTCTGTGTAGGTGGCAGTTGGTTTGGTGAAGGAAGGATGTGATACACAGTACATGCAATCAGAGGCGTAACTAGAAACCATGGGGCCCGGTGCAAAAATTGCCCTGCCCCCCATCCCATACATCTACCCCCCCACACCATAGTCACCGCCCCCCCCACACATTCAGACAAACAGATAAACATGTAGACACACACACAGACACACATACAAACACATACACACACAAACAGACACATACATACAGACATACAAACACACACACACAGACTGACATACAGACACACACACACACATATAGACATACTAATACAGACATTCTCTATCACACACACTCTGACTCCCTCCTCTCCTCCTGCATGGTGCTCTGTTGTAGAGATGTCGCGAAACGTTCGCGAACTTCCCGCGAACGGCTCGCCGCGGTTCGCCACGAACCGTTTGCGGCAAGCTCCGGTCAGCTGACACATTCCAGCCAATCTCCAGCAGACCCTCCCTCCCAGACCCTCCCACCTCCTGGACAGCATCCATGTTGAAGCTGCCGGGAAGTTCGCGAACGGTTCGCGACATCTCTACTCTGTTGGCTGGGAGGAAGTGACAGTTTCCTCCCAGCTCTGACATCATTACTGGTCATGGTCTTTAAGCGCCGCAGCGCTGACCGGGCCCCAGGAGATCCATTGACAAGAGCATGGGCCACCCGATGGGCTCCTTCAATGTGGCCACGCGGTTTTTCCGCGCGCTTGGGCCGTACCAAAATGGTGGTGGGCACCCCAGTAGCAGGGTTCGACAGGGCGACCAGACCCCCTGGAACGACAGCCTGGTCACAGCTGCGACCCCTGCGACCGCGGTAGTTCCGCCAGTGCATGCAATAAAATTAAACACGTTTCTCCCTTGCGTGCATCCTGAAATTCTCTGCTGTCTCACTCATTTTTTAAAGAAAAGACTAGTTTCCTGTATTCACCAGATTTTAAACCTTGTTACCTGTATCATAAAACACGTACATAACTATTTACAATACTTTTAATGTATGAATCATTTGAGGTGAGGCTTTATTACATGAAACAAGGGGATTTTTTAAAAAAATATGAGATTGTACCTGTAGTGTGTATCTCATAGGATTAAATATTCTTATTGTAAGCATGCACATTATTTGTATGTTTAGTAATCGACTCGACTTTACAAGTTACAACCATCCTACTTCGCTCCCCCATTAGCAGAACTGTCATCCGCACTATTGACGGTAAATAACGACAGCGCAATCAAACAAATTAATTAAGAGACCCAGCTTGTAAATCAATAATAATTTAATACTTAAAGTGCATTAATGCTTTGTAATATTTTTTCTTTATTGAGAACACAATAGTGAGGTCATCGTAATAAAGATGTTAATATCAAGCCACCTGCTAGCATTTCATTCAACACAAACCAGCCATTAGTGGCAGATAAATGCAAGCAAGATTTTTAAAATATTATGTTATGGCAAGAGCTCTGTGACGCTATAAAACATAGTCTATAAATTACAAGCGGACGAAAGAAAGTAGTATTCGCTATTAAGATCTAAACAAGAAAAGTCTGAATTAAAATGGAATATTTAACCATGAATGCGGATATAAATCCAAATGTTGCTAAAAGAATGCTCACTAGACACAACCCATAACGGGCAATCAGTTTAATAACCTTCTCGTAGCAGGATAAGTGTATTATCAGCACATTTCTCATTGCTTTCAAGTCAGACCTAAGCAGTTTTGCGGAAAATAAACCACTTAGATTTTTGTTAAAATATCCATATTTTTTATTCTTTCAAACTTACAAGATCTACATTGCAGGTACTTTATATAAGACTGGATAATTGGAATAATGGGGTTTATTCCAATAAATGCATCAACACTTTTTAAAGACCTTGCCTTTGATTTTCTGCTTATTTTAATTATTGCTGTTTTATTTTGCTTTGTGTAAATAATTTGTATTCGAGTTAATCAGAATTAGCTTTCTTTATTTTTATACCAGCTTGCCCATGACCTTGCATGATGACAGTGGAAAGGTAGGATTCAATTAGGTTAGCAGAACAAACTGGTACAATTCATTTAGAAAGTTTTGGTTCTTGAGCTACAGAGCTTCATTATAATTTAAATGAAGCAGCAGTGTGGATGTGCCTAATGGGAGTGGGCTTCACGTCAGATACATAGCTGTTTGTCCCAAATGCTTTCAGTCAGTAAGGGTAAACATGTGCCATTTGATGTACATATCTAGCTAGGAATCTGCGTGAGCCACATATTGTAAGCATGCACATTATTTGTATGTTTAGTAATCGACTCGACTTTACAAGTTACAACCATCCTACTTCGCTCCCCCATTAGCAGAACTGTCATCCGCACTATTGACGGTAAATAACACATCTCATTATAGTGTGTACCATGATCTTTATTTATTTTTTCAAGAAATTGTTTTGTAATTTTTCTCTATTCCATCTTCTCTCACCTGTACATTTTCCACGGGCTTCCCCTACATGAAGCCCCGCTCCTTCAGTAAGGGAAAAAAGTATTTGACCCCCTGCTGCTTTTGAATGTTTGCCCACTGACAAAGAAATGATCAGTCTATAATTTTAATGGTAGGTGTATTTTAACAGTGAGAGACAGAATAACAAAAACAAAATCCAGAAAAACGCATGTCAAAAAAGTTATAAATTGATTTGCATATCAATGAGTGAAATAAGTATGTATTCCCATATCAATCAGCAAGATTTCTGGCTCCCAGGTGCCTTTCATACAGGTAATGAGCTGAGATTAGGAGCACACTCTTAAAGTGAGTGTAGCGGAATGGGCTTTGCCACAGTACCCCTATTTGTACTAGGGGCTGTCCATACACCTTGTGTGCCTTTATTTTCCTGTGTTGCTATTGTTCGTTACTTGGGAAAACAAGTAACAAATTATTACATTGTGTCTTTTCGTCTGGTTGTTCGGTATTATCCCTATTTCAGCTAACTTTCCCTATATAGTTCGACAAACGAACGAAGTACCGAACAACCATGCCACCCATGAGAGGAGCGTGGTGCCAATTGACTTTCCTAACCCTGTTCACACTTTCTTAACCACAAACATACAAACTAACTGAGTGATCCCCTGGGTGGCCGCCGCTCGTATATGCGAACACATGGCGGTGGCCATCTTGGAATACGAACTGCACCAGCGGGGTTTGGTTGTCGAGTGTCTGGAACCCAAATTGTACACTCAACAGCACGAACACCGCAGAGACTTCCATCCTCGTGTAAGTTTGTGTAAACTCAGTGGAACGGAGCGGCATTCGGTGAAAAGAACCACACGAACAAGATGATTTCAACGAACTAAGGCACAAACCAGTTTTATATGCAATTTCGTGTATTTCAGACTCTCGAGCGTAGACCGACCGCACAGTCCAAATGCATGGAACTATTTTCAGCGTACTCCTCGTGAGCGGTCGGTAAAACTAAGACCTCCATGGAACTGTCGAACCCCTGAACCGATCTGGGTGGTTTTTCAGTATGTTGCTCCCCCAGATCTGGACTATTAGGGGATGTATGAATTGTGGGAGTAAGACAGGTTTTTAGTGTAATTTTGGAAATGTATGCAAATTGTCATTTTTTTTCATTTGGAGATAATTGAGTTGATACAGTAATTAACTCAATTATCTCCTAAACAGATGGGAGGGATTGTGTGGAATGTATGGGAGTGTCTCAATACCTGACTCTGTGTTTATTGGTTGTGCACTGTTTTTACCTGGCGCCCAACAAGGTCCACCTGGGTAATAACCTTGTGGGAAAAACCTGCATAAAAGGTCAGCATGGCCCATTAAAGATGAGTTCTGCTCCTAATACAGAGTGTCGTCCAGTTATTAGGAAGGGTGATGGGAGATTTGTGGATTGTTCTCTACTTATGCCTGTGTTCCTGAAGTATCCTGCTTGTTCCTGAGTAACTGTTGGAGTAACCAGCAGAGGAGAATCCAGGCTAGGACTATCCCTCTGCTACAGTGAGTGCTCCTAATCTCAGATCGTTACCTGTATAAAAGACACCTGTCCACAGAAGCAATCAATCAGATTCCAAACCCTCCACCATGGCCAAGACCAAAGAGCTGTCCAAGGATGTCATGAACAAGATTGTAGACCTACAAAAGCCTGGAATGGGCTACAAGACCATTGTCAAGCAGCTTGGTGAGAAGAGGACAACAGTTTGTTCGATTATTTGCAAATGGAAGAAACACAAAATAACTGTCAGCCTCCCTCAGTCTGGTTCTCCATGCAAGATCTCACCTCGTGGAGTTTCAATGATCATAAGAATGGTGAGGAATTGGCCCAGAACTACATGGGAGGATATTGTTAATGATCTCAAGGCAGCTGGGACCTGTCAGGGATCTTACCTTGAGGTGGAGTCTGACGTGCAGAGTTAAAGCACCCGTTGCAATTTAACACAAACCAAAGGGACTCAAGGTAGAAATCTCTAAGGTTGTGAGACAGTGCACTGGGGCTGTACAGACACAGTGCTTCCAGATGCGTAGAGCAGACAAGTATAATCCAAAAGATGAGTTGGGTTTGTTACCAAAGGTCATGACAGGGGGCAAACAGGCAAAAACGATAAACGGGCTGAGGGTCAAGGCAGGAGTCAGACGAACAGTGTAGTTTCCACGAAGGAGAACAAAATGATCTGACAACTAGGCAGAACCAAGGCAGGGTTTATATAGGCAGATAACAGCCACTTAATCTGGAACCAAGAACAGGTATGCAACAGTCCAGGACCAGAGACTCAGACATAAAAGGATACAAAGAGAACCAGAAAATAACAAAGATACGTGGTGAAAAGGTAAAGTCACTGACTGAGATGCAGAGGACCCAGGTTAAGGCCCAAGAGGACAGGTCCGGGTTTGGCATACTGGCAGGCATGATGAGGATCATGACAGGACCATAGTCACCAAGAAAACAATTGGTAACACATTACGCTGTGAAGGACTGAAATCCTGCAGCGCCTGCAAGGTCCCCCTGCTCAAGAAAGCACATGTACAGGCCCGTCTAAAGTTTGCAAATAAACATCTGAATTATTCAGAGTAGAACTGGGTGAAAGTGTTGTGGTCACATGAGACCAAAATGGAGCTCTTTGGCATCAACTCAACTCGCCATGTTTGGAGGAGGAGGAATGCTGCATTTGACCCCAAGAACACAGCAAAAAACAAATGTGAGGAAGGCTGAACTTGATGGACCCAAGTCTCTTTTCAGCTATGTAACTATGTAACTATGTAACTATGTAACACGATCTTTGCAAATCAATTTATAACTTTGTTAACATGCGTTATTTTCTGGATTCTTTTTTTGTTATTTTGTCTCTCACTGTTAAAATACACCTACAATTAAAATTATAGACTGATAATTTCTTTGTCAGTGGGCACACGTTTAAAATCAGCAGGGGATCAAACACTTTTTTCCCTCACTGTATATCCATGATATAAATGAACCAATTAAGGGGCCCAGAATATGAGGATTTCTGTTTGTTTATATATTAGGTTACAGGGACACTCTAAACACCATAACTACTACAGCTTATTATATATATTATTATAGAGGTTAAATAGCAAGTAAGTGATGGATGTCTCTACAGATTTTGTTCGCTGGAAAGAAGTTTGCCAAAAAAACCCTAAAGGTTTCCTCATCTTAGAGCCAAATCCCTCTGCCATCAAAGTGATTATGACGATGTTTTATATCTGTGAATTTCTGGTTCATTTTTTAACGTTTGCTGTTTTAACACGTAGAAGAAGCTATTCTCTTGACAGCTAGAATAAATTGCACTGTCGAGACCATAAATAAGCATCCAGGGCCAGGTGGACATGAATAATAGGGAAAAAAAGACAAGGAAAATTAGGGAAGATACAGAAAATATTAAGGATCAACTTAGATCTGACCTAAAATGTATAGTAAAGCAAGAAATTATTTGTCTGTCACACAAACACAGGTTCCAAAAATTGACCTAACAATCAAATTGTAAAATGCATCAGTTTCACTGTTCACTATTTTTATATGTTTTATCCCTTTCATGGGATGAATGTTTTTTTTTTTCTTTTGTTGTATTTATTTTATTGATGTGTTTGTCACAGTACAGCATATTCAACTGAATTATTGACACATAGTGAGCAGCGTTAACATAGTAGAAGAAAGAGAAAGGCGCAAGTATAGCAATGTTTAGCGATCTAAGTGCCCAAGTTTCACACTCCCTTTTCATCCTACATTATATTGAATTATCCTGGTATTCATTTTGACGTTTCCGTCTGTCAGATAGCAGAGCGCATGCCGCACACCTTGCTAAACGTTCGAAAATAGTGGAATGGCCCCCACCCTTATTATTACTATAAAATCCACTTTGTTAGCGATTAGTTTGCTGTTCCATTTTCACTCATTATCACTTTTACTTTTTATGATAGAAATCTACATCTAGCAATACGGGCAGCCGACGATGAACCATATGGTAATTAAACAGGCCAGATGGGATATATATTCATTATTCTGCCAAAACAAAATAGACAGACAGATAGACAGGGTTATTGATAAAAGAATGCTCGCCCTAGTGCTAGTTTTTATCCCAGAATTTAAGAGATCATGTTTGTTTTACTGCTTTTAATTATTGACTGTGCAATAACTCTGCTGTTTTGCCAACAACAGCACAATAGGCTTCTAATGATAGAATTGTACATTTAATAAGGAGTTAGTACAACGAGCACAGTTATTATAGGTGCAGTTATTTTAATGTTATTTACCAAGCAGTCCCCACGCTGTAAATTGTACAGTACAGACATTTAAACCAAAGCTAAAGCAAAGTAAGGGTAAAAGGGGTGGCCTTATGGTATGCTGAGCAGATTTCAGTTTTGAATTGGATAGAATTAACTGTAGTGGAATGGATGGTGCAATGGAAATAATTTATAATAATTACTGTAAGTGACTAATAGTAAACCAATTTAAATCACTATAGTTCATCTCTAGAGTCACAAATAAAATAAACAATATACGTTATGTCACAAGCAATGAGGGTTCTCTATGTCACAAAAACATTCAGAGAAAGAACCCGCTCTTATCCAACTCACAACTTGCTTTAATTCACTTTTTTATAGTGACCCCAAGATAAAATGATAATCCAGATGTGGAGCCCATGCTCACTGACAAGGCCCAATGACGGTGGAAGTTATTATCTGGAGTTACTATATGCCAGGTGCAGAGATTTCCTGGTAGGTGGCATCATTCTGATATACCACAAGCCAAGCGTCACGTGATGGCACGTTTGAATGAAATATGTTTGAGATCTGAGTGAGCACTAACTGAAGCATGAGTGTTTGCCAGTGTGTCCAGATCCACCATTTTTTTCCGGGACGCATATC